GGTTCCTCCCTGGATGGACTGATAACAGGCCATTTCACTCGACCTCCCAAGGGGTTATCTCCTCTGGCCTCTCCGGGTCTCATGAGTGAAGGTGTGTTCCTGAGGCCTGGATTCCCTGGAGGCATGGATTATTCACTGGCTGGCCTCATCCCATACTGATCTTCTGGGGTGATCCTATTCACCTGTCTCCTTTGCTCTCATAACTCCCCTGCTGGGGGCAGAGGTGGGGATGTTGAGCTTGTGGGCAGAAGTAAGTTCAACTGAGCCATAGAACTTGACTCTGGTCACCTTCCCACAGTGGAACTCAGGGTTGGCATCCTTTCCCCAGCCACCTCCCCTCCCATCTGAGGACAGAGGGTAACCTGCCCATCTTCTTTGGAGTTATCAGTGGGTCCAACTCTTTGAGAGGCCTTTTAGATAGCATACCCTTCTATTGTCTCCAATCTCCCTCATCTCCAGCTGACCTCCCATGTGGCCAAATTGATTCTGAGGTTGGGAATCCAGTTCTTCAAACTGAACTCTTCCGACTCTGCTGTGGTTTGTGAAAACAGTTTCAGTATTCAGCCATAAATACCTTCCAAAATTCTAAATGTGGTACATGACCATTGATATGGTTTGCCCATGTCCCCACCCAAAATCTCATCTTGAATTGTAATCCCCATAATCCTCACGTGTCAAGAAAGAGACCAGGTGGAGGTAATTGAATCATTGGGCTTGTTTTCTCCATGCTGTTCTCATGACAGTGAGTGAGTTCTCACAAGATCTGATGGTTTTATGTGTTTAGTTGTTCCTCCTGCCGCCTGGTGAAGAAGGTGTCTTGCTGACCCTTTGCCTTCCACCATGATTCTAAGTTTCCTGAGGCCTCCCAAGCCATATGGAACTGCAGGTCAATTATAAATTATCTAGTCTCTGGAATTTCTCTATAGAAGAGTGAGAATGGACTAATACAATCATGACCTTGAAAACCAAACAAAGCAACAACATGGCAGGACACAGTGGCTCACGCCTGTAATCCCAGCGCTTTGGGAGGCTGAGATAGGCAGATCACCTGAGGCCAGGAGTTTGATACTAGCCTGCCCAACAGGGCAAAACCCCATCTCTACTGAAAATACAAAAATTAGCCGGGCATAGGGGCATCCACTTGTAATCCCAGGTACTCAGGAGGCTGAGGCAGGAGAATCACTTGAACCTGGGAGGTGAAGGTTGCAGTGAGCCGAGATCTCGCCACTGCACTCCAGCGTGGGCAACAGAGTGAGACTGTCTCATAAACAACAACAACAACAATTTGAGGCCTACTTTTTTTGAGAACACAAGCAAATTAGACGTTGTCCTTGCCCCTAAGGTTCTCACCGCCCATTATCTATCTAGGTCATATGGTTTCTGATGCTGGTCAGCGTTTATGAGGCAAACCCTTTACTAACTTGCGAAACACTGCCCGTCCCATGCAGTTCTTCCTGGGAGACAGCAGCTAGGTCCCGTGAGAGAGCATGGCTGTTCCTTCCTCCCTCCCATCACTCTCTTCCTCTGTCTCCTGGCGATAGCTGTGGGCTGCAGCTCTGACTTGAGTGTTTGCATCCCTACAGCGTTGAGCTTTGGCAGCTTTGGGTGGGGGCTCCGTTGGCAGCTACTTGATAAACACCTGCATGAGAAGTCGAAATGACAAGTTCATAAAGGAATCTAATTCGAGGTCGCACTGCTGGTGGGTCCCTGTGGTTCCTGTTTGCTGGCCCTTGGGCAGAGCACATCCCTTGGCAGTTCACCCTCATAAACATTCAGTCTGGTTATTAAGTGGTCATAATAACCCAACGGAGTTAAGATGGAAAGAAAATTACTTCTTGTTTTTGGCATAGGGTCATCTGTACGTCTTTTGTTCTAAACCAAAGGCATTTCCTGTCTTGTCCTCTCAAGCATATTAGTGGGATGGAAGGGAAGACATCATCGTGGCAGAGAAGCTGGAAGTGAAACTGAACGGTGGCGCAGACTGGCAGAAGCGACCCCTTGGGAATCACAGGGTGTGGTTTTCTCTGCGTCTCCGTTAGATAACTTGACAAGTTGACTTATTTATTTTATGTTTTAGAAAATGAAGAGACCTAGGTAAATAACTGTGCCTTAAAGGCCTTCTTTCCACCCAGGGGCAGCATGCTAGAAAAGAAAGGGCGGGCCTGGGAAACTAGATTTGAATTTTGGTTTTGTCACTTTCCAGCAGTGTGGCATTTTGAAAATCATATGATTATTCTGAGCTTCAGCTTCTTCACCTGTAAAATAATCAACCCACAGGGTTATTCAGAAGATTTACAACAAAAGAGAGCATACCTAGCACATTACTTTGTGTGAGTGATGCTTGTAGGCATGATGATAATGATAATAACAATATCACAATAACAGTTGAATGCTGGGCTCTCCGCTGCTGCATGTAGGTAGACATGGCTCTACTTCCTCATCAAAGAGGGTCTCTGTGGCCCGAAGTACTCGGCAAGCTCCTTGCCTTCCCCATATTTCTATGTGTTAGATTAGATTGTCTTCAATCCTTAAATATAAACTCAAACGGTAGAGGCCTAGTACAGCTTCACCTTGGAGGAGAAAAATATGAGCATAGAGAGTACTGTGTCGATTCGGCTCTACTCAGCAATTTTTTAATTGCATTTTAGGTTTTGGGGTACATGTGAAGAACATGCAAGATTGTTGCATAGGTACACATGTGGCAGTGTGATTTGCTGTCTTCCTCCCCTTCACCTATATCTGGCATTTCTCCCCATGCTATCTCTCCCCAACTCCTCACCCCACGCTGTCCCTCCCCTATTCCCCCCAACAGACCCCAGTGTGTGGTGCTCCCCTCTTAATTGCTGCCTCAACTTCAGATCTTGTTATTGGTCTATTCATGCTTTCAACTTCTTCCTGGTTTAGGCTTGGGAGGACACAAGTGTCCAGGAATTATCCATTTCTTCCAGGTTTACTAGTTTATGTGCATAGAGTTGTTTGTAATATTCTCTGATGATGGTTTGAATTTCTGTGGGATCTGTGGTGATTTCCCCTTTATCATTTTTTTATTGCATCTATTTGGTTATTCTCTTTTTTTTTTTCATCAATCTGGCTAGTGGTCTATTTTGTTGATCTTTTCAAAAAACCAACTCCTGGATTTATTGATTTTTTTGAAGGGTTTTTCGTGTCTCTGTCTCCTTCAGTTCTTCTCTGATCTTAGTTATTTCTTGTCTTCTGCTAAGTTTTGAGTTTTTTTCATCTTGCTCCTCTAGTTCTTTCAATTTTGACGATAGGGTGTCAATTTTGGATCTCTGCCTTCTTCTCAGGTGGGCACTTACTGCTATATATTTTCCTCTAGAGACTGCTTTAAATGTGTCCCAGAGATTCTGGTATGTTGTGTCTTCGTTCTTGTTGGTTTTGAAGAACTTCTTTATTTCTGCCTTCAATTCATTGTTTATCCAGTCAACATTCAAGAGCCAGTTATTCAGTTTCCATGAAGCTGTGCGGTTCTGAGTTAGTTTCTGAATTCTGAGTTCTAACTTGTGGTCTGAGAGACTGTTATGATTTCTGTTCTTTTGCATTTGCTGAGGAGTGATTTATTTCCAATTATGTGGTCAATTTTAGAGTAGGTGTGATGTGGAGCATATAAAGTACTGTGTCAATTCAGCTCTACTCAGCAATTTTTCTTAAAAATGGGGAGATTGAGAGAGAAAGAGAGAGTAACTAAAATAATGCCCACGGTTCTGGCAGCCACGTGGTCAGCTTAGAGCCCAAGCTGGTCAGCAAGTGCAAGTGGGGAGACATGAATGAGAGATTCTCTCCATCTCTGTAGGGAGATCAGCTTATTGGGTCAGGTGTGATCCCAGTGTTTAAATGTTTGCCTTTTTAGTGTGACATGGTAGTCAACTGAAGATAATTATTTTTTCAGGTACAAATCCTGATCTTTTTCAGGGCTGGAGTCTAACGCAGCTGTGTTAGATTCACTGAGTGAAATTTTATATGAGTGTCTAGGGCTGTATAAACAGACCATATATTCTGTATTTTATAGGTGATTCAAAGTGTGGGGGGGGATTTTTTGTTTGTTTAACTTTCTTTTACCGCACGTGAATAGTCGTACAAAATAAGATGTTATTTTAACTGACTTCCAATTCAGCTGTTTTTTTTTTTTCATTTTTACCATAGATATTTCAGTATGTGTATTTAAAAGACAGCGACCCTTTAAAAATAGGCCAGGTGCAGTGGATCGTGCCTGTAATCCCAGCAATTTGGGAGGTCAAGGCCAGCAGATCACCTGAGGTCAGGAGTTCGAGACCAGCCTGGCCAACATGACGAAACCCCGTCTCTACTAAAAACACAAAAATTAGCCAGGCATGGTGGGTACCTGTAATCCTAGCTACTCAGGAAGCTGAGGCAGGAGAATCGCTTGAACCCTGGAGGCAGAGGTTGCAGTGAGCTGACATTGCGCCACTGCACTCCAGCCTGGGCAACAGAGTGAGTCGCACATTTACTCTTATTGCATATACTATCCGTCTCACAAACACTTGCTTCCTGATGTCTTTTTTAATAAGAATAGGATCTTTTGAGATTCTTTTTCTCTTTAAATATCTGAATACAGGTCTACTTGAAGGACCAGTATATTGAAGGACTAGTCAGCTGCAGAAACCCTGACTTCAGATCTTCACCCAAGAAGCTTTGTGTATTTGCTTTTCCTGGGCCATTCAGATAGAAAATTGCATTTTTGCGACAGTAAGAGTTTACAGCTTAGCTTAACTAGAAATAATCTGGATCTTATTTTGGAATTAGGAAGAAACATGTTATACTGTAGAAAAGTCCACTCTGTTACCTACACGATGGCATAGCTTTGTGCTTTTCATGCTTTGTGGCCTTGCAAGGATGTAGGTAGAGTGTAGGTGGTTAGGAGGTATTTCCCGGCTAAAAATAGGGACAGGATATTGTGGGTCAGGAGCTCCTTCTCTCACAAACCTCTGTGCAAATAGCTGAGGGTTATGTATCTGCTGCAGGTGGTACTTAGGCTCCAAGAGCTTACAGCACACATGCTTGAGTGGACCATGGGTGAGCCGGAGAACCTGAAGTAGGCCCGAAGGCGAGAAGGCAACGGCGTTCCGTCTGTGGAAGGACCTCCCAACCAGGTACCTCTGATGACAGGGCCCATCTCACAGGTGGCCCACTGTGCATCAGACCCTCATATTTTCTTTGCATTAAGTGCTGTAGGATTCCAGGCTCGTGCATACCTTTCTGCTCCCCTGCTTTGCAAATGTTTGCACTTTAGGGTCCTTCTTGTTGACCACTACATATGTGTCTTCTGCTTCTTGCCCCTCTCTGCTTGGGTCCTTGCTACACTGGGACTCTGCTTGGGTCCCTGGAATGTGGACCCACTTTTCGCGTTGTATTGCCAGTTTGTTTGCAAGGCCATCTCCACTTTGAGCTTCTTCATGACTGTCTCACACAGCACCCTTGTTCTGTGTGCTGGTTTGAGGAGTTCCGTCCGTAGCACTGGGCTCTGGCTGTGTTGGAAGAGGGCAGCTGGGAAAAAGGAAGTGTACTTTTGGGGAAATTTGTTTTTAGAGACATGAGACATGGAAAATAGTTCAGTAATAATATAAAATGGGAGTCATGGACTCTCAGAGGAGGCTGGGCAGTCCTGCCCAATCTCACTGCACACATGATGCTACTTCCTCCTGACCTCTATAGTCCTTTGCATTTATCGAGCACTGCCATACGTGTTATATTTTATCAAGCACTGCGTGTTGTTTTATCAAGCACAGTCACATGTGTTATGTTTTATCAAGCGCTGTCAAGCGTGTTATGTTTTATCAAGCGCTGCCACGTGCGTTGTTTTATCAAGCGCTGCCACGCGTGTTGTGTTTTATCAAGCGCTGCCACGCATGTTGTATCAAGCACTGCCACACGTGTTGTGTTTTATCAAGCACTGCCACGCGTGTTGTGTTTTATCAAGCGCTGCCACGCATGTTGTATCAAGTACTGCTACACGTGTTGTGTTTTATCAAGTGCTGCCACGCGTGTTATGTGTTTTTTTTTTTTTTTTTTGAGACGGAGTTTCGCTCTTGTTACCCAGGCTGGAGTGCAATGGCGCAATCTCGGCTCACCGCAACCTCCGCCCCCTGGGTTCAGGCAATTCTCCTGCCTCAGCCTCCTGAGTAGCTGGGATTACAGGCACGCGCCACCGTGCCCAGCTCATTTTTTGTAATTTTTAGTAGAGACGGGGTTTCACCATGTTGACCAGGATGGTCTCGATCTGTTGACCTCGTGATCCACCCGCCTTGGCCTCCCAAAGTGCTGGGATTACAGGCTTGAGCCACAGCGTCTGGCCCACGTGTTATGTTTTATCAAGCACTGTCGTACATGTTATCTCATGCAATGACCTGGGTGTCATCATGTCCTGTTTTGTAAGTGACAAAACTGTCACTCGGATGAAATGACATGCTAAAAGTCATCTAGTTAGTAATGATAGAACCAGGGCTGGAGCCCAAGCCTCTGATGATGCTAAGGCTAGTTCTTTTTCAGCTCTTGATCATGTGTCTCAGGATGCGACACTGAGGCCTGGAATGGAGAAGGAACTCACCCAGTCTTGATTAGGATTTTAGGATGGCCACAGTAGCTCATGCCTCTCAACGTTTTGAGAGGCCAAGGTGGGAGGATCTCTTTAGTCCAGGAGTTTGAATCTGGGCAACATAGTAAAGCCATGTCTTTACAAAGAATGAAAAAAAAAATACCCAGCTGTGGTAGCACACACCTGTAGTTATAGCTACCAAGGAGGCTGAGGTGAGAGGATCACTTGAGCCTGGGAGATTGAGGCTGCAGTGAGCCACAATGGAATCATTGCACTCCAGCCTAGAACAGAGAGAAACTCTGTCTCAAAAAAAAAAAAAAACACCAAAAAACACAAGGGAAGGATTTTAGACAGTGCTGACAATATTGAGACAATGCTGACCGGTGAGCCGAGATGGAGAAATAGAGAAAGAACTAATGTCGTGCAGAACTATGTTCTAAGCCAGTGCTATCTAAAAGAAATAGAAAGCAAGCCACAAGTGTGGGCTGCTGCATATGTAGTTTTCAGATTTGTAATAGCCACATTAAAAAAGCAAAAAGAGGTTGGGCTTGGTGGCTCACACCTGTAATTCCAGCACTTTGGGAGTTAGAGACCAGCCTGGGCAACACCTTGTCTCTATTTTTATTTTTATAAAATTAATTTTTTTTAAATAAAAAAGTAAAAAGAAACAGGTGAAATTAATTTAAACAATATAGGATAACACAGGGGTTAAGGGCACTAGCCTGGGTGCAGTTGAAATCTATATTTTCTAAAAGTAGATGGTGAAAAATAAAAAACGAAAATCCATGTGTAGCTTTTGACTCCTCCTAAACTTAATACAAATAACCTACTGTTAACCAGAAGCCTTACTGATAACATCAAACATGGATTAACACATATTTTATATTTCATGTGTTTTATATACTATTCTTATAATAAAGTAAGCTAGGGAAAAGAGTGTTATTAAGAAAATCATATGGAAGAAAAATGATATTTATTATTCATTAAGTGGAAGTGGATGATCATAAAGGTCTTCATCCTCATCATCTTCACATTGAGCAGGCTGAGAAGGAGGAAGAGGAGGGGTTGGGCTTGTCGTTTCAGAAATGGCAGAGGTACAAGAGGTAGAAGGAGGTGGAGGGGGAGGCAGGAGAGACAGGAACACTGAGTTTAACTTTGATTGAAAAACATCTGCATATAAGTGGAACCGCGTTGTTTAAGGGTCAACTGTATTTTATTTAACCCAATATATTTAAAATACTGTTACTTTTTCATGTACTCAATATAAAATTACAAATCGTACTATCTACATTCTTTTTTCCATAAGAAATCTTTGATGTGTACTTTTACACTTACAGCACATCTCAGTGTGGCCTAGCCACATGTGACTAGTGGGCTGTTGCATGGTGGAGCCCAGTTCTAATCCCTTTACATATATTATTTCACATAGTTCAACAGTCAGTGAAAAGTTTATTACAGTACTACCTAATGGTTGAGGAAATGGAGCCCAGAGAGGCTAGGTAACTTGCCTGGGGGTCACGGAGCTGGAAAGTGACAGAGCTGGATCCTGGCCTCTCCTTCCTCTTCCCACTCTGGCCAATGGCAAGCCCTCCAGGAAGGGGAGATGAGGGGGGCGAGGTAACGGCAGGGATAGCTAATTCCAAACCATTATTAAACTTGCTTCTGTGGAGGTGGCTGCTCCTGGGGCAGTAAAGGGAACCCTCTTCTTTAGATGCATATGCCAAAGTTAAGGGAATCCTTTCACTAGGCAGTAAGGCTCCCTCAGGGGACCTGGGACCATTAACACCACTTTCCTCTTCGAAGGTGAGCAACATTCAAGTTGATAATGCAAAGGAAGAGCTCAGCTATGCCAGAACCAGGTCACTGTGGATGCTGAATAAATGTGTTTTCTGTCCCCTGTGCTAAGGCAAGAGACCTGGGGGAGTAGACCCAGATTTGTCATCTTCAAGGAAGAATACTATATTTTGTATTTCTATTTTTATTATTTTTTTTGAGATGAGTCTTACCCTGTCACCAAGCTGGATTGCAGTGGCACGATCTTGGCTCACTGCAACCTCCGACTCCCTGGTTCAAGCGATTCTCCTGCCTCAGCCACCTGAGTAGCTGGGATTACAGGCATGCACCACCACGCCCAGCCAATTTTTTCTTCTAGACGATGTTTCTTGTTCTTGTTGCCCAGGTTGGAGTGCAATGGCGCGACCTCGGCTCACCACAACCTCTGCCTCAGGGTTTAAGCAGTTTTCCTGTCTAACCCTCCTGAGTAGCTGGGATTAGAAGCACTCGCCACCATGCTTGGCTAATTTTTGTATTTTTAGTAGAGATGGGGTTTTTTTATGTTGGTCAGTTTGGTCTTGAACTCCTGATCTCAGGTGATCTGCCTGCCTTGGCCTCCCAAAGTTCTGGGATTACGGGCATGAGCCACCATGCCCAGCTAATTCTTGTATTTTTTAGTAGAGATGGGGTTTGACTATGTTGGCCAGGATGGTCTCCATCTCCCAATCTTGTGATCCACCCACCTCAGCCTCCCAAAGTGTTGGGATTATAGGCGTGAACCACTGCACCTGGCCAAAACTACTATGTTCTAATGGAGGGGAAGTGAAATAGGAGGGCCAGGTCCGTGCTCTGGCGGCAACAAACTTGGTACCAAATTTGCTTTTCCTGTTTTACTTACAAACATTATGACAGCACTAAAGATATGCTTTTATTTCTTTATATTTTTTTTTAGAGACAGAGTCTCCCTCTGATGCCCAGGCTGGAGTACAGTGGCTATTACAGCTCACTGCAGCCTTGAACTTGTGGAATCAGGAGATCCTCCTGCCTCAGCCTCCTGAGTAGCCAGGACTATAGGCATGCACTATCACACAGAGCTATTTTGAGAAAATGGTTATAGAGTGTGTTGCCCAGATTGGTCTTGAACTTATGGCCTCCAGTATTCCTCCTGCCTTGGCCTTACAAAGTATTGGGATTTATCAGCATGAGTCATGGTGCCCAGCCAAGATACATTTTAAAAATCCTGCATCCTGACACAGTACTGTTTGCTCATAACAATGGTCCCTCGTAATCGTAGTCTGTTTGCAAAGCAAACTTTTAATAGAATTACAATTTTAGTGTTGATAAAAAGTTTATTTTGGGCCAGGCGTGGTGGCTCACGCCTGTAATCCCAGCACTTTGGGAGGCTGAGGTGGGTGGATCACTTGAGGTCAGGAGTTCAAGACCAGCCTGGCTAACATGGTGAAATCCCATCCCTACTAAAAATACACAAAAAAAACCCTCAAAACAAACAAACAAACAAACAAACAAACAAACAAAAAATTAGGTGGGCATGGTGGCTCATGCCTGTAATACCAGCTACTCAGGAGGCTGAGGCAGGGGAATCGCTTAAACCAGGGAGTCGGAGGTTGCAGTGAGCTGAGATCTCGCCATTGCACTCCAGCCTGGGCAACAAGAGTGAGACTGTCTCAAAAAAAAAAAGGTTTATTTTGTTTCTCCTGTTATCGTGAACATAGTTTTTCATATTTGTAGTGCATGTCGTGGGTTAATGGCTTCACAGGCAATCCT